CATAATTACGCCAGTTCCCCATGATCTTCTTCCGGACCATGTGCTGAGGTGATTCCCACGGGCTGTTTGATGGTCTGTCGATACCGAGCTAAGGTCTCTGGTCGAATTCAGCTCGTGCTGCACCGATCTTTTTCATAGTAAGCCGTCTTCGTCATGCGCTAACTGATTAACCGCGCGCGACTATGTGGTGAGCGACCTCTGTCAGCACTGGTGGTGGCTCTTCAGCTGGTTGAACTAGTCGCAAGTATTCAGAGAGGAGGCTGATGTAGTCGGACGATGCGCCTGCGTTCGAAAAAACAGGGCTGCTTATCGAAACATCTGAAAGGACGCCATCAACAACTATTTTTTTATGTTGTTCTGAAAGTCCATGGCGACCCACGTTGGCAAGCAATCCGACATGGTGAAGAAAGTCGATGCCGATTAAGACGAAAAGTACAGAAGCGACCGTGAAAACCCAAGGAAAATCTCGACAGAGATTGAGGCTCAGCCTCATCATACGCCGTTGGAATGAAGCTATCGGGGAAATCTTGGCCGCACGCAGGTCGTACGTAGGCTTTGAGTGTTTATCGTTGGCTTTCGCATGGATACCGTCCACCTCCTCCCCCGTGTCGATGAGGAAAGTGATGGAAGAAGGTCGATCCTTATCATAAACATGCGATTTGTTTTGTACTTGATGGATGTGTTGGTTGTGTAAGTAGGCAGGCTATTCGTTTTCCCTAAAGCGGCTGAGTTGTGCCTAATGCAAGTAGCCCGACAACGTCTAACTTTTCTACCATATCGGTGGTGTACCAAGATAATACTTCAGCCGAGTTTTGGATTAGCTGACTGAAAACTTGCGGGGAAAATGTTACGCTTCCGTGTAGAACGAGACGTTCTCGGTCTAGGCACATTCAAGCCGCAATGGACGCTAGTCAAAACGTGGACGGCGTCTGATCATGACACATGCTACTTTGAAGCTTTCATTACTGCTCTCCTGCTGGGAAGTGGCGCAATTTCCTCGCCAGTGGATTCAGATCTACCTGACGACCTGGAGCAAATGTGAGACTCGGTTTTCGTCGGTGAGAATATGTCACCTAAGATATTGACCGACTGCTGCGAAAGACATTCGAACGTAGTGTCTGCTTTGGTAGTTAGTTATTTTATGGGTGTATCTAGAAATATTGACAGCCTCAACTGACAATGGCTCTAGGAGAGGTGCGAACCACAATTCCCTTATCCCTTCTTCACACAAGAAAAAGGGACTAGCGATGCGCTTAATTTTGCTGAGCAACGTAGACGGCTTGCGATTTCTAAGCTCAAGACCATTAGACTGTTCAAAATGAGCCCGTGAGCTGAACTGTAACTCCTTTGAAATTGCTTGTTTCATCGTTTTATACTTTGTCTCATTCGCTGGACAGAATAGATGGTCCTGAACCTGTGTCACAACCGACGAAGCAAGTCCTGGGACGAGGTGGTTGTACCTCGAACAGTCCGCCTGAAGGACCATATTTTCGAGTTCTATTTGAAATGTCGCAAACCAAACCCTTGGGCTGGGTTCCATACAAAAAATTGAAGTAGATAAAGTAAGCATGTCTACGCTTGGAAACGACTCAGATGTCAATTCGAGTCGTGAATTGACTTTACAGATAAACAAAAGCTATGAAACTAATAAACTAAGGCACAGACCAAATGTATAGACGGATTAAATCGAGAGAAAAAAAGAGCTGCCTAAAACCTACAAAGGACGAAAAACGTTTAAAGTTGTGCTTGCGAATCATGGGTCATCAATTTGTAGGGCAAGTGAATACTATTCCCAGACAATGAGCGTAATCAATCGCGCATATCAGAAGGCAGCTGAGGTCGGACACAGCGGACTATATTCGATGGGCTACAAAAGACGTGGACGGATGAAGCGAGACAGAAGTGATACGTTAGAGCGACAACTTATAGAGCAGTCGTGTGTCGAGCCGGATGTAAAGAAGATTAAAACAAGAAAAAATTATGTACAATTGTTCGGCCCTGAAGTTGTACGTAAAATACAGTATTTATATTTTGGGAGCTACAGGAGTTCTCCAACAATTTGAAACCGCATGCTTCTCAGTATAGGATCGCCTCACTTCCTGTAAAAGACCGTCATACTTCTTTGTCTGAAAGATAATGCCAGGAAGTCAAATAAAAGCATTTATGGATCCTATCAGTACGACATAGTAAAAGATTTTACAATTACCTTCACTTAATTAGATACATCGTCTTCAACGAGATTTCCATGCATCTACGGTGTTACGGTAATTCTTTTCTGGTGTGGCTTTTACAGCCTTGCTGCAAACCTCATTAACTTTGTCAACCTACCTTTTCCCTTTTAAAAGAGTTTTAAAGCGGTATTAAACGAAGAAGTCTGGAGGAGGCAAGTTAGAACTGTAAGGCTGCTGGGGAACCGTTGATACCTTTGAAGCAACCAGGAGCGAATTGCGATGTAGTGTGGCTGGCGAGTTTTCATGATGAAATTTTCAATCTTCTGCTTTTCGGCCCTTAGAGGATGAACGCTTTTTTGAGGACATTGAGCACTTCCACATAGGAGTCTGTAGTGAGTGCGACACCATTTGTTACAAACTCATGGTGGACTAACCCATTGATCTCGACAACACAATGCGCATGGTCTTGATCATTGTCTTGCTCATGCTGGCCCTCTTGGGGCGTGGAAACGCCGAGGTGTGCCACTTAGCACTTTGCCTCTTTGTTTTGGAGTCGTACTCTAAGACCCTAGACTCCGCCTACGATTACATCGTCTAAAAATGGAGGCCGATATCACATAAATCCCAGGTTTCATATTATGTTTCACCTCTGCGGGAGTTTAGAAGTTTTAATGTCTGCGCCATTAAACGAACACTCGAATAACTGTCCGGGTTTAACAGTTGCGTAACATGCCTCACATTTTATGTGGTGGTTGTCGTTGACGGCTTTCCAGTTTGGGATTCATCACTGACCTCTTCATGGCCTACAAAAAAATCTTTTGCCACCGTTAGACTTAACGTCCTGTAAACAAGCATCGCCAAGCACCGTCTTTAGCATGGGAACAGTTTCCACTGCATACTTACCGAGTTGCATTCAAAATACAATAACTGTCACTTGCTGCATCGAGCGCTGCATCGCGGCTTCCAAGGGTTGTGAAAACGAGTTTCACGAAAATGGCCGTCTTTTCCCTGTGAACGAGCTCATGTGGCAGCGATTGCTCGTGTTTAAATCGACTCCGCCACCCACCGAGCTAAATCGAACCGAGCGCGTTGCAACATGTAATTACTTCGCGGTGAATTCACTATTACTTTTCGAGCAAACCCTGTATATGTGTGACAAGATACTAACCAACTATCGCAACCACTTCACGCTGAAAGTAAAACAATTGCATGCCGAACCTCCTAACCATGCTAATTTTCCTTAACTAGCTTCAACTACACTAACTGAAATTATAACTTGGTCATATGGCGGTGCAGAGGTTTGCCCTCAGGTGCCACGTCACTTTCACGAGTTGAAATACCAATACCTTTGCGCGCATTTACAAATGAACAATAACCTTAGAGGTGGTTCTGAGTTGTTCCTGCCAACTCTGACACCCTATAACCAGTTTCGTCCTCTTTTGAAATCATAATAGTCTGTGCTGCGGTGGAACTCGGGGCTTAGTGGTTAAAGGCTGGTGCCTTGATTATTTGAAAAGCACAATTAGAAGACGAATTTCGCCAGATCCATGCATTTCATATCGTCTCATCAGTGCTGAAAACGATAACCGGTAATTTTATATAACAGTTTGTGGGTACAGACATACATACAAACAAACGAGAGGAAAAAGCGATGTCTTTCTTCTACAACCAGGGCAGTCTGGGACTGACCGATAATCGTATCTGAACACAAAGCACTGGCTTAATCCAATTAATGGCAATAGCCTGGGCAAACCAAAGGAGTCAAGAATTAGTATGGCGAAGCGGGATTCTAAGCGCTTTGTTGACTTCAATTCGGTGACCCGATGTCAATAAGTGCCTGCCGATCAAAGATATTGGCGGCCTGCCTATACATGTAGTCTGAGTTGGGCTTGCTTGCTGAATAAGTCCGCACTGAAACCATTTCGTTACATGCTTCTTTATTCGGGAACTCAGTGTTCTATTTGTTCTGCCTATGCAACTATCCCCGCAGTTACATACGAATTGATATACGTAGTGGGAGTTGGTCTCAATAGGCTGAGTTTCCTTTAGTGGAGGCAACGGTAGCTTATGAGTTGGGTCGAGAATTCAAGTTCGGCAGCACAGAAAGTACTCTTTGTGGCGGAAATCAGACGTCTTCTGGTCCTCGAAAGGGCCATGCCACCCTTAAAGGGCAGCACCAAGAATACCTTTTTCTTAGGCACAGTATTATTATTATGGGCTTAAGATCCGTGAGCACCGCTTGGCACAGCGGTAAGGACTTCGAAGTTGGATGTAGAGTGTCCACTGTGTGGTTGGATTGCGACATACTTTGAACACGCTTTAGACAGTAAACTCTAATTTTGGTTGCCTGTAACATCCAATATGTGTGAGGTTTTCACTCCTTTGTTTCATGAGAAGCACTGGAGACAGTCATCTTTAATTGCGGAGGCCACACTCACAAAGAGTGTGGGATTATGAGTACTACTGAACTGTATATCTTTTCTTTAGTACCCTACGATGGATACTTTGGTGAGTTAAAATTTACCTGCAGATACCATGTGATTGCTTTTTGCGAATAACTCATTGTTTAGACTTCTTATTGGTTGGAACCAAGCTAACGGCCAACATTTGGTTGCGAAATATAATTTCGCACAGAATTGAGCAATAAACCTTCAACTCTCTCACATAGGATGAAGGGAGTTGTATACCGTAGCAGATACAACTATATATCGCAATATATGCTTTGCAAATTGGATCACTTTCAATTTTGTACAAAACGTCTTATTTTAATTACGATTGCTTATTTAAAAGCTGGAAATAATGGTATTATTCTGAAATTCTATTTTTCAGTCGCATTCATCTCAGGACCAAGAGATCCGCACTTCTGCGAGCAAGTAAGTTTGAAGATACCCGTTCCAGAAGGAAACCGTGTCTGTGCGCGGCTTTTGCTGAACGTTCCTTCATTCCATCCATGTTAATTGCCTTGTTCGTCGGATTTTTAACGTAGGACGTGACTTAATATCGGTCAGTTAAATTTAAATCACCTCATATACGCAAGATGTTCACCGATCAGAGGTTACTGGCGAGAACTTCGCTAGAAATGCCCTCATGCACTTCGTTACAGTGTCCGCAGTGGCTTATCCACCGCGGATTGCAAAGTGGAGGAAGCACAAAGCCAAAAGCACATTGGGAGATGAGGGTACACATTTTTCGATAATGCACGTTTATGAGTTTATTGCAATTAATAATCCGGTGCACTCTATTTTATCGGGAAAATGTTTCATTTTAGCAGCTTTTGTGATCAAGTGTTGATGTCACATTTCTGCGTTTGCGGAATTTGAGCTCCGTACGATATGCTTTACCGCTTCGCTGGCATTCTAACGTGGTATATTCGAAATCACACCACCACTCATCGGCTTACGATGAAAATTCAGTTCGGTGAAATTAACAATGCCGATGTGGCCATGTAACAGCGTTGAACTGGAGGTAATAACCTCATCGAAATCTCAAAGATGATCTTGCTTTGCTTGCCGTCTTTCCGACATAATCGTTGTCTGCAGTATAAGTGATTAGTGTTGGTATCAATGGTTAGCTTCTTGCGTTCCTGCTTCAATTTGAACCCATCCACTGACGCTGTTCAACTGTCAGGTTTAACTCAACTTATATACCCAATAAGACTGACTAATGCGAAATACTTGGAAACCGGAGTTAGATAAAAGAACTTCACTGTATCGCGGATCGATATGAAAACATTCGTGGTGCATTCGCAAAGTGTATTATGGAATCCATTAATCATAATCTTTGATGTACCCAAACAAGCTTTTAAAAGTTCTCCTACTGTTCTCGGATTCAAGTGTAAACGGCCCTAAAGGCAGATTACCTACGGACAGTCCGTCAAACAAAATTATGCAACAGAACCTTCTTCTACAATTTTCATTAAAGATGTCGTTGTCTCTGCGCATGCATTGCACTTCTGGAACAGTGAACACAGGCCGAGACACGAGATATAAAAAAGACAAAGCATTTAGAAATCTCCCGTGAATAACTATCCACAGAATTCAACAAAGATCAAAAGAGAACGGGAATACCGTAGCATTTACGAAAAAGTAAGGACCAAAATAAACAATAACTCAGCAAACAATGCTTCCGGCACAGATGTTGTGACGACGGCAATAGTCAAATAAGCCAACAAGTTTAACTGCAAGAAAAACGCGCAGAGTCAACATGTATCAATGTGCAGGTCCAAAGAGAATATGCGATCGAACGCGGTTCTGGCAACAGAGTGTGCAAATACCAACGCACCGCATGCGCATGTAGATACTCTACTCGAAGGAACACATGACCTTGTTCTTCAGACAACCGAAATTACCGCTGGACAACTGCATGTGGACAGACATGCGCAGGTTGAGCCAACCGATCGCTAAGCTGATGGTTGGATGTGAACAATGCGACAACGATGAGCGATAGCATTTTATGGCGACCCACCAGTAGTTGGTTGGCCGAGCCAAATCAGGATACTTCGGAGAATGTTTGCTGTTTCGGAACAGTGTCTGAGCAATGAATCGCGGTGAAGCACGTCCCTCGATGACTTCTGAGCAACCAGAGTTACAGTGCGTGGCTGTTAATCAGCGCTTGCAAATTCTTCGGTTGCATGGACAGTGCGGTTTAAACGCTGCAGAAACGGACAGACAATGCAATACAATGAATGCAAAAATGCGACTCGTACGTGACCATTACGTTCTGAAGCTTGCGCAAAAGTTTGCGAACACTGGTAGTGTCCGCAACGTCAGGAAAACTGGTCCGCCTCGCACCACTACGGATGTGTGCTCGACTTGCGATGTTATCCGCGAAGTAACCGAAATTCCCGAGCTCAGCACCAGTACAATCGCACAGCATTGTGAAACCACCAGTTCCGCTGTTCAGTGGAGTTTAAAGGGAAGAAAATATCCTTGGTATGGTGAACTTCAAGTATAAGTGCTGAGCCCCTGTGATCTGGGGAACGGCATGCATTTAGCTGCTAGTTCTTAGATCACATGGATATCCATTCCATTCCATACGTATCCTTGAGCCCAAATGAATTAATGACTAAACCAAGCCACTTGGGAACGGTGCCAGTAGTGGGGCGGCGCAAAAGTAATTATGAGGGAAATTGACCGTTACTACAATGCACTACGCCACTTCGACTGCCGTGATAATTGGGGGATATCATGCTTAAATATCGGAATGCTGTTTTTGTATTTGTTTAAGGATATTTAGCTGTGGGAAAGCTTAAAAAACAAGCAGCGAGCAGCAAAACAGCGTATAATGCGATGATTGACATAGTGGACTGACGGCCATTGCAGATTTGTGCGTATTAACACACCCATCGATGCGGATGCATCCTTGCAGATAGACCCCAGCAAAGCACTGCGATCAACGCTGTTCGAAATCTTGAAAATGGTTGAGTAATTTTTGATGCCGCTCTTTGGAGCGGCGCTGGTTGTTTCCTTAGAGGCACTGATCAAAGTCAAATAAACCAATCTTCTGTTGCACGGGATGTGACTGACTGGTGAAGGCGCTTCCAGCGTCGCATTAAGCGAACTAAATTTCACACACCATCCTACACACCCACATGCAGGACCTCACCGAATGTCTCACAGTTAAGACGTTTTTAGTACGATCAATCTGGTTCGCGCCTGTCAGCAAATACCTATGGAAGGAAATGTCAATCCTAGAAAAGTTGCAGTCAGTCCTTTCAGATTGTTGCAATTTTAAGGATGCATTTCCGACTGTACAACGCTACACAAACGTTCCAACACATTATCCACCATGTCTCGCGTAGTCTAGGTTTCGCCTATCCACACCTCGACGATATTCTAGTCGCCAGTTTCTCGGAACATGAGCAATTTGACCAACTCCGTCCTCTCTTCTAGTGCTTGATCCAGCGCCTTGTCACAGTCAACCCGACTAAGTGTGGACTCGTCAATTCAACGGTAGAAATCTTAGGTCACCTTCTTTCATCGTGGGGTATCGGACTTCCTAGGTCCGACCTCATTCAAGCACCTCTGTCGATTTTGTGGTCTGGTCAACTACACGCGCACTTCATTTCTAGCTGTGCTCAGCTCACGCAGCCTTTGCTGATTCCCTTCATATTACTTGTAGCCTGTACAATATAGGTTGCGTCCAGCTGTCTTCAACTTCTCTACTGTCCCGTAATGGACAGGTCTCTTACATGTTATTTTTATCGACTAGTATCCCAGGCGCCACCCAACAAGCCAATTTGATGAGCTAAATGGTCGGAAAAGCATGATCTTGGTTTTCTTCTTCAAGAGTGTCACCAGTAAGTTGATGTTCAGAAGTTCTCACCCAATGCCATTGTGTATCTTACCCGGTAGCCCATTCTTGCGTTATCATCCTGTTCGCTCGAGACACGATGGTGTCCTCATCGGGAGCACCAGCCGGCTAACAAACGCTCGAATCGTCATTGCTAATCTCCGCCGCCTGTGGCGCCTACGGAACATCACTCTCGTGCTGAAGAGCAGACGGTACAGTGCAACCGTTAATTCAACCCTAACGCCGGGCTGAGTTCCGACTGACGATGAACATGTGTGAATTGGTACGGTGTTAAAAGGTGGTATAAACATCTACACAGTAGGTGTTGAAAGTGGCTACCGGCGTCCTGCTTGCAGTGCAGCAACAGCCTGAGACAGTTTACAAGAAACGTCTCCAATGTTTTCAAGGTGACGGCGCGACATTAGTTCACGATGTTCTCTTGTAAGTGTTCCATTTCATTCAGCTTTGTCTTATAAACTCTTCGTTTTAAATGGCCCCATTGGAAGAAATCCAAGGGGTTCAAATCGGGTGATCGGGCAGACCACTCCGTTGGTCCGCCCCGACCGATCCATCGGTGGCCGAAAATTCCGCTCAAATAATCACGAACCGTTTGAGAGTAATGAGAAAGCGCACCATAATGCTGCGACCAAGTGGTACTGCATAACACCTCGGCCTCCAACTGCGGAAGTACGCAAGTCTGCAACATTTGCTTGTAGCATAATGCTATGCGAGGCAGGGAAGTAGTTATGCACTAAAAAAACTACCGGTAACATTGTTGGAAAAGAAAATTGGGCCCACGATTTTTCGACCAGTTATTCTAGACCAAACCATTAATTGCGCTTTCTTGAGTACGCGAAGCTCGGTAACGTCGTGGATTAGATACTGTCCAATAATATTACTTCTCGCTTCCGTTCAGATGAAAAAACATTCATAGGTGAAATTAGTGAAATAGATATCCATGTGATCTAAGAACTAGCAGCTAAATGCATGCCGTTCCCCAGATCACAGGGGCTCAGCACTTATACTTGAAGTTCACCATACCAAGGATATTTTCTTCCCTTTAAACTCCACTGAACAGCGGAACTGGTGGTTTCACAATGCTGTGCGATTGTACTGGTGCTGAGCTCGGGAATTTCGGTTACTTCGCGGATAACATCGCAAGTCGAGCACACATCCGTAGTGGTGCGAGGCGGACCAGTTTTCCTGGCGTTGCGAACACTACCAGTGTTCGCAAACTTTTGCGCAAGCTTCAGAACGTAATGGTCACGTACGAGTCGCATTTTTGCATTCATTGTATTGCATTGTCTGTCCGTTTCTGCAGCGTTTAAACCGCACTGTCCATGCAACCGAAGAATTGGCAAGCGCTGATTAACAGCCACGCACTGTAACTCTGTTTGCTCAGAAGTCATCGAGGGACGTGCTTCACCGCGATTCATTGCTCAGACACTGTTCCGAAACAGCAAACATTCTCCGAAGTACCCTGATTTGGCTCGGCCAACCAACTACTGGTGGGTCGCCATAAAATGCTATCGCTCATTGTTGTCGCACTGTTCACATCCAACCATCAGCTTAGCGATCGGTTGGCTCAACTTGCGCATGTCTGTCCACATGCAGTTGTCCAGCGGTAATTTCGGTTGTCTGAAGAACAAGGTCATGTGTTCCTTGGAGTAGAGTATCCACATGCGCATGCGGTGTGTTGGTATTTGCATACTCCTGCGCCATAAACGTGTTTCGGCTGCATATTCTCAATTTATCTATACATTTTCTTAAACGGGTTTACTAGTGCCTCATCCGATTTGGAGGTTTGCATATTGTGTATTTGTCCTGTGCCTTTCCCCACCACACGCACCGTGATAGCCTTCAAGCTTTTCAATTGTGCTTCGCGTCGAATTCACTATAGCCCACAAGGATGAGTTGGTTTCATATTGCTGATTGTAACTCACACGATCGCGTACTATCGTTTGTTCACTTGCGTTGTGAGTTATGTTTTACTCGCCACTATCCTAATGCCACTGCTGGGGAATTAAAACAGAATATTACAAAGCTGGTAACGTGAGGCTAATCCACCTTAAATGAAAATTAGGTCTGTTCAGAAGTTAGAAACATAGACCTTTGTATGCACGATTGAATCCAGTTTACCTACGTGTTTAAAGTGCAAATAAACTCAATTAACTTGGCAGGGAACACAATCTTCTTTGATAGTCAGAGATAATAAAGATTGGTTGGGATAATTATTGGAGTTGGGTAAATGGTAAATTGAATCACAGCCAGGAGCCAGAGAGCGGTAGAAAGGTATCACATGATCTCACATTCGGGAATCCTTCGCAACCAGCTATCTGAACTTTTAGGATTCGTGTGGTGCTGTCTGAGGGTGAAGCATGTCTCTCAATTGGTAATAGCTATGACCGTCACCCTAAAAATTCGTCTCTAATAAGAGACGAAATTTCAGTAAGCACACAAATTAATTTTCGTGATGCTACTGTCATTTGTGCCAAAACCATAAATAATCATCGCTGGCTGATTGGTTAGGCAAACTGAGAAACACACTACATTTTAAGTTTAACACCATACTTTCTATCGGCAGCGGTCACATCGCAGATATCTTACATTTGGCAGCAATTTGAATACGTAACAGAGCGCTTGTGGATCACCTTCCCACCAAAAATATTAAGATAATAATGTGCTTGTTTTAAACAAGCAATAGAATATTTACTTTTTATACTGACACCCAACTGTAGAACATGAAAATAAATATTATGTGAACTCTAGTTAAATAGACTATATAGTGCTATGAAATAACTACGTCAGTTAAACATTTTATCCGGTTCTGTAATAAAGATTGGATTCAACACATCACATTAGATGTGTAATGTCTGTTTTCACCTGGGTACTCGTGATGTTCGGTACAATTTTTGCTTTCTTCGGTTCCAAAAGTGGATAGAACATCTGTCACGACACTGCGAAGATGACTGTCACTCGGTAAGGTTTATGCTCTACAAATGTTAATGCGAAACTAGGTTGTTACTGTAGGAACAACAGGACTGGACTTAATTATGCTGTTATATTTACATGTGCGCAGATCATCAGAAACGGAAAATACATACATGAGTACTGTATTTATTATAGTCATATAATTCTGCTGGTAAATCTTAAACTAAAACACTGCCACTTTTGGAGCGAATAACCGGATAAATAAAAATCCAGATTTTTATTGTTACTAATTCATTCACATGCAGCAACCACAAACTCGCCAATCTGGCTAAATTCTATACTTGTTCTTTACGCCTACCATTCATAAAAGCTAACAGCTTTACGATATGAATAACTATTAACATTCTATTATTAATACATAAAGGACGATACAGCTTTCTATTGCGTCCAGCTACAGATGACGAGATTTCGAACAATGTAAAAATTACATTCCAGATAGGTTTGTAAAGTGGTCCAAAAACAATCAAGATAAGCTTCATACACCCGTTTGGGAGCATTTTTATCAATTTAAACCAAAAATGTTATTAAACTACAACAGAGCATCCACGAAAGACTAACTCAGTGCGTTTTCAGTCAAGCGAACGGTCTTGCATTTGAAGTGCCATAGGCTTTGGTTCGGCAAACACGCGAATTAAGTGGAACAACATGGAGCTATGATACTGTATGGAAGAGAATACGGTACCGGTTAGAACAGAACGCAGGTGATGATAAACGTCGTTTATTATTACCGGTGAAAAATCAGAGCATGGGTCAAATACCTGTTAAGTATAAAATCAACAAGTGGTTCATTATTTAATCTAGACTACTAGGCACTAGATATAAGTGATTGCACAAGAAAATAAACGTACCTTTAAATAAGTCTGAGAAACTAACAAGGGAACAATACAACCAACTGAAGAGAATACATGCATTGACCAATCTTATACTGAAAATGAAGGGTACGGAAAAAATTTGGACTGTGTAAAAGAAGTGTCCTGGGTTTTTATGGTGTTGTTGTCAGTTTTGAACGCCATAAACCTGTTGTTCGATTTTTAGGATGATCGCTACCTCCTGAACAGATACCTCATCAATATGAGCGGACAATGGAAGAGGATACTTTACAGTTTTTCCATTAGAATTTGTGGTCACAAGACTAATTCCAGTAACGTCGATAATATTTCGCCTCAACAGGAGAAATATGTATGGTTGATATTTAGGAAATAGTTAAAAGGCATAATGGTAGTTACCCTGTATGAAGCCTGAATAAGGTTAACAGTAAATGTCGACACATTTGAATGTGGTGTTGTACACATATACTATACCAGTCACCAAGCTCTAAATGTAAGTCTATTACATGGGTACCATAAAGGAACATGTGAACTTGTCTGGAAAAAAGACATTTGCTTATTCTTGTTTGTACTGAAGTCCGTTAATACTAACAAGCTGCAAAAAACTAATGATATTTATTCGGTCTTCCATCTAACACTGATGTTATGTTGGTTGGTTTAATAAAATTTTTGATGTTGTATAAAATAGGTTAGATTGATATCCCCTTTCGACTGTTCAGTCAAAGACACATCCAACAACCGTTTGCGCTTTGCATGTGACCATAGTAATTTTTGACAGCAATGAATATTTATGCCTCGTGGTACCTGTTGCTTTGTCTCATCTGCATATCCATGAAGACGTCAATCGACAGGTTCCATGTTCCTGGATCATGCTACCTTACTACTATCTCTAACCAAGTAGTTCAAATAGTCACCAGTAGGGCGAAATTGCAATTCATGGAGCAGCTAACATACAAATTACGGGCTTCAAAAGCGGTCCGATGCCAAACTGACCAGGATCCACCGAGAATTGGTTAAATTTCAGACCAATTGAATGCACGGCAACAACTACTTACCGGGTGCTTAAAGTGCAAGAAAATTCTGCTAACAATTCAGACGTACGGCATGACATAGCGGGTAATTATTGTGGGTAGGGATAGAAAAAATTCGTCGGACATGGTTAATCAGAGGGATTTTCTACCCTTCTATTAGCCCAGTGACAATGGTAGTGATAACATATCTTAAAACAGATAGATAGGTTCCAACGTGAATGGTGTGTATAACTGAGATGCTATCGGCACACGACGCAGTGTTAGGGTCGTTTTTATTACGGGTGGTTGGTTCGGACTAATATACCTTTTCAGCACTATACTTGCTGCAGCTCTCCACTAGTATCCTCAGAGCTAGTGGGCTTTTGAGACTGGATGATCAAGTTGGGCTAGAACTTGTCTCTGATGTCACCACATTCTTGTATACAACTATAATTTTCATTATCCGGGAATAAAATTGGAACCGACTGGGAATACATAATTTCGTAAGGTTTTACAACACAAACCAGTTGCTTATAGGCCGTAACAGAAGCCTTTAAACGATCGATTACCGGCTTAAATTTTTCCCAAATAGGGATAGCTTTGTTCAAAAAGAACAATGACAATAATTCATGTAGACGATGGGTGAATATAATATGCTGTCTACTTTCCGGGAATTGATAATTGTGCATTTTGATAGGACAAGTTATTCTATTCGGTTACTTATAGGTTCGCAATAAGGGGCAATAGTCAAGGCTACCACCTCATGCGCGCGTTACTCAGGGTCGTTGTTTGTCATTCGATGCGTGGATCGCATGATGTCACAACAATGAACCGCATTTCCTTTGAGAAGGTTGTAGCCATAATGAGAGCGACTAGAGGATCTTAACGAAGACGGCTGTGTCCTTTCATAATGACGTATGCGATATATGGCGACTCGGGATATACGCAAACCCATTCGCTAAGATTAAAATGTAAGCGGGTCTAAAGGTGTTCAGCCTTTTGTGTTACTTTCGGAACTGCTTGCGTTCAAAAGATTCGTCAAACTGCTACATATGAAACAGTTTGTAAAGCACAGATATGTTTTACGTTGCGATCTGAGCTGTATGGTATGGAAATATGACTGAGGCTATTGCATTGGCAGTGTGGGTATCATGTTTGTCACCTGTAAAAAATATTCGCTGAACAACTGGTCATGTCATAAAATTTAATTTTGACCTTACTCTTCTGTTATTTTTACCTTACAGATACTAAGAAAACCGAGCTATTCTTCTTACTCATGTATTCTCGTTCAGAATTTTCAACATGCTCTGTACCGCTTACAGCCCGCAGAGCCGTTCTATTACATTGATCTTGAGTGGTATAAGCTGATGCATCACAAGCTCATAAACTCATTGAACAAGCCTGGTAACGGGTGCAAGTACAACGGCTTTATTCAGGTAAATCCGGGTAAGTCCAACAGACCAAATGAAGTATAACATACGCATACATATCACCACACTAGTCTTGAGTTGAAACTGGCATCACCAAAATAAGCTGTTTTGTGTCGCTTGTACAGATGCACAGACCAATTAATCCTCGCTTTCACCGGTACCAACTTCTGGTACCCAATCTGAAGCAAATAGCTCACTCTTGGTGCTTTGATCAGCGAGTGAGGAACTACTGTAGGAGCGTGCCACACACCATAGTGAAGACGAAATCGGTGTCGGAATTCGAAAAGTTCCCAGACGCTTAGTTCGCCTATTATAGATATCGAGAGCGCATCACACCTAGGCGTGACGTCATACAACTGAATTGAGTTCGTAATGCATGGCAATAAAATTTTATACCGCTTGTATGCCCTACACTGTATCCATGGGTCAACACATATACCATCTCTCTCCTTTTGGTCTTCAGTGTTCTGTACTCGCTATGCATTGTTAAATACTGTGAAAGAAATTGTACTTGCCGTGTAATCCAAGCTTTTAACTTGTAAACGCATCCGCAGTCAACTACAGATTCTAGATCTCACTACCGGTTCACGTAACAAATGCGGGAGTTTGCCTTGATAGGTTATCTTGTATAGATCAGGAGCAGACCGACAGCGTCTCCAGTAAACAGGTGAGAAATGGTGAAATGTTCCCATAGGCAAATAAACCATAAGAGCATGCTGAATGAGCAAACGTAGGAGATTGTAGCACAAAGGAGCAACATACACTGCAAGAGACGGCGATCATGTTCGCAAGTTACGTTGGATTCGCCTGATGTGAAATTCCAATTTTTGCGCGCCATCGCATAGCAAGCATTGGACGATTTGCGATATGTGTTCCGACCTATCCAAACATCTCTTCGCTTAAATCCTCCACTCGTTGTGATCCTTGTCCAGCAGGTGCTGACATAAAATATATCCAAGTAGTTTCTCATGAATTATAACATAAAAAATGCAACATAGACAATCTGGTAGTATAACAGACGTTGTGGTAAGGCGTGATTAAGTACAAAAGGTTTGTGTTTGTTTTCAGCGGAATTAAAAAGCAACTTTTAAAGGAAAGCTTGTGAACGCATTATCTTTTGATCGCGACACAAAACCACTTTGTTTGGTTCAATGCGTGAACCTCTAAAGATGAATAAGCGAGTAGATGAAATAATTCTCCATTGGCAAGTAGGCGTTTTATTAGTACTGACCATTACACGATTCTCTCCGATGAACCGGTGCGAAGGCAAACAACCTAACTAGTATAAATTCTAGGCAAATGATGAAATAATGCATACATGTGCATATTTTTCCCTTCCATAACTTATTTTATATTTAATCGAAAACTTTGCAGTATATTTTCTCTATGTTAGCTGCATTCCACAACGAAATTAATAAAAAAGCGGAGTAGATGGACCGAATGCGCATATGATGCCCTGCTAAAGAGTAGTGTGTGTGTAAATAATGAGGCAAATGGAAATCAGATAAATCTTAAGAATCGAGGCCAGTAATCTTGTCACGACTGGCGTTAGGCTAATACCACTGTGGTTAGAACAGTCTGTGCGACTGTCCTTCTTGTATATTGACACTGTAATCGATTCGCTCTAATTAGCCAGGACACTCTTCCTTCCAGATACGTTCAACTAGGGAGGTCAGTGCTTTGCAGAGGATCTCACCTTCATCCTTAAATATTGCAGGTGGGAGGGAGTTCGGGCCAGCGGCACGAAAACAATTGAGGGCTTCGATCGCGTTTCGGAACTCGGCCTCCGACGGAGGCTCTAAACTAACTTTCCGTGGCTCTTTGTGCATCACCTGAGTAGGAAGAGGTCGGGGAGCAGAGGGCTAGCTGAACTGATCTTGGAAGTGTTCCGCCTAACGAACCATACGGCCCTCCTTATTGTGTATCAGCACGCCCGCGCTGTCTCTGATTGTCTCACTGACGCCTGGTTTTCTGGGACCAGTGGTGCGGATTAGCTGGAAGAGCTTGCGGTAATTGCCTACTGCTCCTGTCTCCTCCATTTCTTAAGCCGTATGGTCCACCAGGCTTCCTTCTCAGCACGTAGGCTCTGCTTTGGTTCACGCCTAATATCCCGTCTCGTCACGTTGTGTTCGGAGGCAGTCGTGAGGTTCCTTCTAGATTCCAACAGGTTCACCGACCTTTTGGAGATTCAGTGACTGGTGCGGTGACGATTGATAGTGGCACAAGCAGATGCTCCTGCGTCGTGCATAGTGGCCGAGATCCTATTCCACTGAAGCTCAGTGTTATTAGGACAAGACAGCGGGACTTCGTTATGCAGTGCTTCTTGATAGACTTGCCTAACCGATGACGGCGACAATTTCTCCGTTGTCAATAGGAGTAGACTCTTGGTGCGCCTCCCGGTAAACTTCATAGAGAAACGACAGCGTACCAAAGCATGATGAGAGTCGACACAGGTCCTCCAGTACGAGCGGCAATCCAGGATGGAACCACGCCACCTGTAACTTATGTCTATGTGGTCAATTTGGGTCCATCGTTGGCCAGCTACAGGAGGACGCCAAGTGACACTTCAGCGCCTACTGTAGCAGGGCTACTACGCAGTACTACTAAGCAGTGCTACAAGGCTCACCATTGTCAGTCCGTTCAGAGTTAAGCCCACAGTTCCCACCCAGCTGAACTTTTGAAGAGCTCAGACGCCCTACTTGTGCGCTCATATCCCCTGCAAGTACTATAATATCTGAACTAGTAGCACTGTGTAGTAGCCCGTTCAGTTCGTCATAGAACGTGTCCTTGACAACATCTGAACTGCAGTCGGTGGGGGCATAAACGGAAATCACAAACAAACAGCGTTTTGTACTACTTCGTGAATCAGCCTTAGCTGATGTCGTTAAACGGGCTGCACATAAACGGCTATGCACCGGGATCCAATCAGCCAACGATGGCACAGACTTGGAGCATAGAATGATACCTATACCAGCTTGACCCGTGACTGCTGCGCCGGCGTCTCCGGATGCATGCAACCAATAACGAGAGGAAGAGCCGGGTGCTGTTAATTCAACAACCGCATTAGGGTCATTGATCCCAGTGTGTCCAAGGTGCGTGCGAATGCAGCCTGTTGCCCTATGTGTCTTAGAGTGCGAGCGTCGAATGTCGCCAGGGAAACGGGATGGCGTGGCCTTCCGTATAGAAGGAAGTTTAGTAATGGGGTTCGGGCTGGGAGTAAGAGAAAAAGGTGGAAAAGAAAGAATGGAGGCGCCAGCAGTGACATGTTTTCGCTTATCCGCCCTGCTGTATGCAGCAGATAAGGCGACCCTTGATAATCTGTGCGACGGCCGATGCAGGATGAAGTTTATGTTTGAAGAATATGTCATTATGTTGCCGGAGGTGTTGGCAATTCGGGACATCCCATTTCCGATCTCGAAACGCAGTCATCGGGTACTTGTTGTCTCGCTGAATATGACGGTAACTTCGTCATTAATTTTCACAGGTTAGCGTCACCTTTGTACGAGCTATTAGGAGGAGAAAAAGGACTCTCTGGGACGGCAGCGGCTCAGCGAGCGTTTGTGCACATTCAGAAGGAGATGGGATGATAGGAACAGACGTTGGAATGGCCGAGTTCTGGAGAAACCTTCACGGTGACCACAGATGCAAGCGACGTCAGAATCGGTGTGGTGTGTTACTGAACAAAAATCAGGGGACGATCGGATACGCTAGCACTATTTGGACACCATCGGCACGCAAATATTCCACAGTGTCCTATGGGTGTCTGTTAACTGTTTGGGCTCTGGACAAATGTCGCCCGCACTTTCTGGGTCGAAGCTTTCATGTTGAAACTGATCAAAATGGTTGGAATGGATTAGGAGTAAGCGGTCACAGTAAAATACAAATCAGAGAAAGACAACGGAACGGCGGATTTTTATTGCGCATGACGAACGAGGATGATTTGCCGAGCATGGCTTTCCATAATAGTGATTTAATGCTGGAGCGGGATCCGGGAAAGTTGGCAGCTGAACAACGACAGAACAGAATCCTGGACATAGAGATAACAGCACGAATAAGGAATCAAGCTGCTGTAAGCCAAAGCCAAGGCCATCAATTCGAGTCGTTCACGCTGAGTCTGGAAATGGTACACCTCAAGGTAGCTTGAATCTTGATCTGCTCACAAGAGCGAGACGCCATCCCATTGTCGGTGATTCTTCCGAGATTGAGGAAAGCATTTTTGCTGTCGACACAGAATGACTTACACCGGTTCCACCAGGACATCTGATTTGCTTAGATAGCCAACTTACTGATCAGGCATGAAAAAGATAGCGGCACACGCATGCTGTCATGTCTGCCTTGTCAGCTCTTGGAAGGAGACAAGCATGGAACATCACAACTTGTGCTCTTGATTCCAATGTCCCATATCCGTGTGTTGTTGTCAGCCGATGTAATGGGACCGTTTCCGTTAACTAGGCTAGGGATTCAGTATGTAGTCGTGATGGCCGAGCGTTTCACCGGATTGAAGCTGTGGCTATTCCGGATCAACGGGCTAACAAGATAACGCACACCGTAATGAAACAAGTGATGGCCGGCCACGGCATTCTGAAGGCCATACTGGCAGACCTTTGATAGCGATAAATTCCAGACATGTTTTGCAAAACTAAAAATAAAACAGTTACGTACCACTATCTACCATCCCGGATAAACAAAATGACGGAAAGGGATAGTAAGGCGGTTAAAGCATGCCTGTCGGTGAAGAGGACAAGGTAGGAGGAAGGTTTACCACTACTCGTGCTAATTCACTGCATATTCAAGCCATGTACACCAAGGCGTTCCCATTCCATTTAATGTACAACAGCGTAACTTGATTTCCTGTAGAGCTGCATGGGGGAGCTCGGTTGACTGTGAGTTAGCGCTAAGAGAAGCACGGGATAACAAAAGGGTAGCGTACCAAAATCTGAGGTCAACTCAAGACCGGATAATGGAAAAAGTAAGAGTCAACATGAGGAAGTCGTCTGGGGACTTTCCAATCGGTTCGTAGGAGAAATACGCAGATCACCAACGTGAGACCACATGTGGTCCTGGAGAGAGGATACTCTTGCATAATTGTAAGGGACCGTATGACATAGTCGGTCGACGAGGGCTCGTATACCCCATCGCTCGAGTGGGAGCAATGTGGTGCCTACATGCCAGCGAAACGAGGAAGTGGTACGAGCGAAGAACAAACTGTGGTATGCATGAAGCAGCCTTGAAGGTCGGAGAGATTGTGTGAGGTTTACAACCAAGGAAGCGTTGAAGGGGAGGAATGTGGAGCACTACTAGCTATTGGTACATGTTGAGACCAGTGGGAGCAAGGAAATCAGGGAAATCTTGGATGGACACGCACGAACGAAACGTGATGCACAAATCAATAACAGGGACGACGCGTGGTTCAGGATGCTGTCTCTGCCGATATGTTTTGAAACAAGCGTAGCACTGGAACGGGGAATCGATAAGACACGATGAATTGAGTGCGCAAATAGGCCCTTGTATCCATGTTCTAACTGTTACAATACATAGACGGGTGTCCGCTAACACAAAACTTACCTGCGTATCGTTGCATTCTTGCTTAACTGACTATGGATAGAATGCCGATACGTTCTGACTGTATTGTTCGTGAGCATTCAATCGTTTAGATCATCGAATTCGCCTTTCCTAGCTCCAACGCTACGGCAAGGGTGACACCTTGTTGACTTGGACCATAAAATTTCTCTGACCGCAGTTAATAATCCTAGCTCAGAGCTCTGTATATGATCCTACACCAGTCAAATACCATGCACCTCAAGGCTCAATACTGGAACAACGTGTTTTCAAACACGTGTTATTAACTTCGCGCAGATAGTTGCTTAAACCTTCGCATTTTGCCGAAGACTTCTAGGTAGGGTGCAGGATTCAGGTGAATAGCAATGGTCAACCCGAAATTTACTACAATGCGGCGTATGCTAGTGCACCGTAGTCTCTATACGACACCAGTTACACACCGCACAGGTTCGAAACGAAAGTACAGCTGCGATCTTCCGTCTAGCCTGACCTCGGTGTGCAGTCTCAGAATAACTTGGGTTGCTCCAAACCATCCGAAATTGCATCAAAATCTAGTAATCAGCACGTCGGGACTTTGAAGTAAGCGTTTAGACGTATGGGCATCCCTAGTTGCAGACAGATAGTCGTTGCTTAATTAGCCCCACCTCCATGTCGAATACGCAATGAAAGCCAGGCACCAACAGCCAAAACACGACCTCACTGCATTGGTGCAACACCATCGTCGGGCTACCATGTACGACACTGAAATACGCAGTCGTCCATACGGGCATAGGCTGAAAGGTTTGGAGCACTCGGTGGAAGTTATCTCCAAGTAGAAGACCTTGGCTTACTTGATTCTGCAAGATCCAATTTATCTGCGCCACTCTATACTGAAACCTAGCAGTAACACAAAATTGGAAGCGCACATCTTGAAATTGGTAGAACAGTACAGCTGTCTGGAGTTCTGCAGTGTATGTTACCTTCCGAGTCCTCTCTCCGAATAGGTTTTGCCGCACCGACACTGACGATATTCAAACGACGGTTGGCTGACGTATTTTTATTACTTAGTACTATATATTCGCTATACACCTGAGAATTACCTCTAAATTACTAATTGTCGCCTAATGGTGCCATGCTGTTACTCGGAGTATAGATCTACTGCATAGCAAACGCCAGTTATATTACTGCTTTTTGCTAACTTATTTTTATGGCTCAACAAGACCAACGAACGAGTCTTGTAAAGCAGTGCTTCTAGACTCGTATAAAATCATTGTTTGTTGTTCAGAATCGCTAGAAGGGTAAAGTAGTATTAAGTGCTTTGGGTGAGTGCGTCACCATTGGAGAAGACTAAGGTTTTTTGGAATACACTTGCCCAGTAGCAGCATATTGATGGCCTTAGTTAGATGCTGCTGCACTTCCACATATGATATCATTGTCCGCTCATAAATGTAGAAGTTTATGCCAGAAGTTTAAAATATAGCAGCAGTAGCTATCCTCAATTTTGTACGAATAAATTGTATTCACGGAACGCAATAGGTGCAAATATATAACGGTTACAAAGAGTCTAAGATATTTCCCATTGTAAATAGTTCATCTTTTTTGCCAAGTGCTACCCAAATACTCAGGGAGTGCAGTATGATGTATGCACCTACTGATTACAACCGCAGCATTGCGAAACAATGACCTACACTGAGAAGAAAGTACTTGTGGTATTAACATGTTCACAAGTTGCGCCATATTGAAAAGATACATCCAAACTAGCCTACTCTTCTTTGACGAATTGGTATAGGGAAAATACTAATCATACTAAAAATTTGACCTACGTCATCACGAGTAGCTGAAAGGAGTCGTTCTTAACTACATAAGCGGCTGTATGTAGTCCCGACGTCATCGGCACTGCCACACGATTTTCAATAATATCACTAATAATGTAATATGGTTGCCTTTCGAAATCTATCCATCACAGTTGCCCATTTCTTTCCTCTCTGTCCTTCGCAGGTAAGTGAAGATAAACGAGGTCAATCCCACCAATTAAACAACGCCACCAAATGTGACGCAAATACCTTAAACCTACTTTCCATGCTTAATTTCGTGTGCTCCTGTTACCCTTGCATCTGTGCTACAATTTTGCTAATATTAAATTCACCTTGCCTAAAGCTATTCTTCACCTTTATCTCCTAACGGGTTTTGCTTTCAGTTACATCCTAAAGCTCAAATACCAGGATCTTCCCAACACACCGGACACTCATGTTTCTGTGAGCTGTTCAACTTCGCGCATTAGCAATACCTACCTTAACCATTTATATTAGCTAGCATTACCACAGGTAACCGCGTGTTGGTGAAACGATGGTTTAAGTCAGCAGTTATCTAAGTTACACACAAACAAACCGCGTTTTATGATATTTATGTTGCAGAACTTAGTCTTTCAGCGACAAGCGTTTATTCAGCGAAGTCAAGTCGGCGAAAATTAAAGCATGTTTGTCAAGCCAAACTCTTCGATTCAAGTTGTACGATCAAGTTTTAGAACTAAGTACCCTTCTGAGCCGATGACGTTCCTCCTTTGCTTCAGGTAAACAAACGCTGAATCAGTCACTCGAACGTCGGCCAATCCGAGGCCAGTAATCATAATTTGCTTTCGACCTCCCCATTCACCGCGTAAGTAGGTGAGGCAAACGCTATGAATAATCAACTCGCACTGCTTCTATTTCAGTCACTTATCTTTAATTACTTGTGCAAAGAAGTCATGCGTCAGATACCTACTTAGAGAAAAGAGGAAAGTATATAAGTAGGCTAAAAACACACAGCGCTATACCAACATGCTTCTCTTACAAAACCATAAAGAAAAGCTTTTGTGCTTCATATATTTTGCCATCTGAAAAGCTCCCGGAATGTTTCATGTATTATTTATGCAGCTGAACATCAACTCGGTTGTGATTGATTGCACCACTTTTGTCGCCAATGCACACGGGACACAGAAATGTTGGCGGGGAATGTGGGAGAATCGAGGAAAAATGACCGGCAACAAAAGTATAGATTAACGACGTAGCTATCTCGCATTGAAGTTATCAGCAGCACTCTATCAAAGCATCAACCGAAACAAAGAGGAACCGTGGTGTAGTTCGCTCACATTGTGAGGGTTGCCAAATGGAATAGAAGGCAATATTGAAGGCGAACTACAATCCCGATTTAAGCAGTAACTTCTTAGCTAGATGGTATTAAATGAATTATGATTTGTTGAGGATTTTGGTGGCTTAAATGACGGGCGAAAAGCTTAAATTAAACTGGAAGCAAAGGGGTAATGCTTGCATTGCGTACTAGTGCATCGCTCAAGCTAATGACGCGTGCAAAAGCGGTAACCTGAGGGACTGACAGTGGAATCACAATTGTTTCCTACTTTGAGACAACACTCACTATCGAGCTCACTACACTGTAAAGCAAGGATTAAAATGTCATAGGAAAGAGACGCTAACACTTAGAAAACCACATGGGTCGTATGGGCTGATAGAATCTAATGAACGCATTGTCAAATAAGCGAAAAATGACTGTTGTGCTGAAGAGGTGCTCCATCATATACCACGGGCTGCGTTGTACTGACTCCCAATCAAAGCTAGATAATTCACATAAGAACCGATTGTTGGTTAATAGTAAGGGATTCCTGAATCTCAGTAGTGTTGGTAGGACCTGACGTAAGGGGCAGGATGTTCCCCGGTTGCCACACATGAAGATAGAAGCAATGTAGTTAGCATCACAACCAGCAATACCGTACGTCTAATTCTAACTAGGGACCTCTTAGGGTGGTTTTATAACAATGTTTTAGACGATTGCATCAAACATGGTTCCAAGGTTTCAATGTTTAACGCGACCTTATCATGGCACAATGCAAGAGCCAGTACTGTCCGCGCTGTGCGTCCAGGTTTTAGGACTTAGTTGATAAAATTGATGCAACCGACTATTTGTCCTTTGCTAACCTTTTCTTGGGATCTCGAACGGGTGAAAACAGCCCTTTGCCTGAGTCTCCATGGCTTATTCTGTATGTCACCTGCGTGAAGACGACAGACGTCTCCTGTTACCGGACTACTTCAACCGGTATTGGTCTGCGCCAACCTTCATAAACTGCATTCAGTTGATGTGTGTCAAACAACTGGTGGATCACCTGTACTCGTAAGTGCTTTAAAGGTATATTCCCAATAGCTTAAGATTGACCGCACTAGCGTATGACAAGTACTACTCCGTCTATTCATACTGCATGTGGAGACCGTAATGTGACTTTACATAGCAGGTTGATATTCTGATGGTTCACCGTATCTTAAGATTACTAACGAAAGGTTGTAAATTGAAGTTGCCATATCCCCGTATGATCATTACTGTTGGGCGAAAATGGACATGGATCAAGTGTTGGCTCTTGTGACACCACACTGAATTTGAGTTAGGCTGGACGTAGCGCGCGGGATCCAGTATCCAACTTTTGTCGTAAAAAAAGTGTCACTTTTCCAACCTAAGATAGTATTACCGATTCCACAGTCTAACATTTGGTAGGGATGAATACAATGAGTAACTTGCATGATATAAGTAAACATCCAAATAAACCACATCAATATCCACATCTCGGCAACACTGTATCAATCCAACGGAAGGGACCTAGAACATTTGTGTTGCAATACCGGTTTTGGTGAAGCGTACTCCCTTCCAATAACATAACAGTACATCTTAACGGGACGCTGCACTCAGCATGAATCAGATCGGACATTCTGTTCCGAGCTCTAGCCTATGGTTGCTCCTAATTCAAAAATATCCCATTTGCCCAATAAGATAATCGCTGCTTCTTTGTAGTTGTTTCCTGTAAATTGCAATGCGATAATCCAAGCACTCGAAGGCTTCTTGATCTCGGGTGAATAGCATCGATTACTACCATTCTGTCAGCCATTCATGTCTCACTCCAATATGTTATCAGCAGGCTGATAGTATATGGTCGAGGTTTAATGAAGCTGTGCTGATCTAGCGTTTGGCGCTACAGTCAATTGTCTGTGTGGCCAGAAATATTACACGCCTCCCTCTTAACCTGGAGGTTACCGTTGGTTCGAATCAGCGTATGTGCTGGCGATCTCGCGGTATACCCAGCGAACGCATCACCGTGAGTTGTTGCATAGTAGCGAAGCGTCGGTGCAATGTTGACGTTATGCTGACCCTCACAGCCTTCTAAGTTATCGACAATAGTACCGATAATGATCTCATTTGTCCCATCGCTATCTTTGCGTCATATTAATTGGACGCCCTTTTATTTAGGCTGGTGAGATGGGGCTTGACATTGCATGACTGTCTTGTTCGTCGCCTTGAATCGAATATTTGTTGATTATACGTTGTGAACTTACTATCGGCACTGCAGTAACATTAGTGTCGTCCGTTTGGTTTGAATCATTTCTTGCATTTTTCTTGAACCGCATCCTTTATATTCTGGTGATATTTGTAATCTTAGGCTGCAACTAAAAAGAGCTATCATAGCAACAGCATCTTCCCACATAGGTGATGCGAATACTCCAAGCCTAGAGCACTTGTTTGGTAGCCATCGGGCTGATGCGACTCGGTATTCACCCCATAGCGTTTCAGCTCATGCTTTGCTCGTTTACGCTTGATCAACAGAAAGTCGGAAGTGATAGGGAGCGGAAGGGATCTATTCTGGCAACGAGCTATCGGAAAAAAACATCTTATTCAGGTGATGAAGCTTAGCTTTGCCATGTTACTTGGAATTCAGGTGATATTTGATTCACTCCAGTTAGAGTGAGTAGTCGTGAAATCGCACATTTTAACTAAAGTTCCACTACCTCCGTTCATCCATTGCCATTTTGTTCAACGATTTCGAGTCTGGTTTTAATATAAAATTGTACATGTGGGTCGGAATTGTCGATTGCTGAATTTTATTTGTGGTCTGGAAACCCAGCTATCTGGCACATAATAGGAAAACATTTTATCTTAAATTAATCCTCCGTGTAGCAGTAAATGTTGCACCTGTTAATTTTTAAGCGCGCTCGTCTTTCAATTCCATGCAGTAGCCAATAGTATTAGCCAGTATAATAGAAACATTATAGTGTTCCTCATCCCAACACTGGCACCCGAAGACCGCGGTTTCGTCCTGGTTGGGACTAATCAGTTCGAGATAGCCTGAGTTGGGCTGGAACTCAGAGCCTAGTGGCTCATGGTTGACACCATAATCAAGCCCAAGCCCAACTTCGCATTCGTTTCCGCTGGACCAAGCGTTGCTCTTGGATCTCAGTGGCATAGTGCTTATGGTGTCAACCATGAGCCACTAGGCTCTGAGTTCCAGCCCAACTCAGGCTACCTCCAACTGATGAGTCCCAACTAGAACGAAACCGCGGTCTTCGGGTGCCAGTGTTGGGATGAGCAACACTATAATGTTTCTATTTTACTTACGGTCTTTTTGATCGGAATGACCGAGGTCCACCTCAATTGAACCGAGGCCTCAATAAAGGTTGCTTGTAGCAACCCAACCACCAGCGGATTCTCCAAGCCCAACTTTGTATTAGCCAGTGTATTGTTTAGTTTCCATAAATCCTGAAGAGAGGAAACGGATTTAGAAGAAAATGTTACAGATGTGCGGCATGTGATCACTTCAAATAAGACTGCAGGGATTGGGGCATGAACAAATGGATTCACGAGGCTGGTAAATTACTGGATTGTTCGTAGAGCTTACCCGTTTGGCTACAAACGTTTAATCACCAGTTGAGAGACACTAGCTGTGTTTTAGCTACAGAATCTGATTGCACCAAACCCATGGGACCGATGTATGCTAAAGCGTTTATCAATCAAGCATTTACCTTCCTCGTACTATTAATATTACTTTGAACGTCAACGGAACATTTGCAAACAAACTACCAAGCACGACAAGCCACCCAAATTCTGCGACAAGTTGCCTCCTATCATTTCCGAAGTGAATTATTTACCGACAGAACTATCGACTTGTGCATCAGCTGGTGCTGGAGTCCGATGGAGT